ATGGTGAGATGAGAGGGGTTTATGAAGAACAATGTAATGCATTAGGAATGGGTAGGGAACCTTTTTCACCCTATTCAGAGACATACAATCCTAGTCGGAGGAACCATCCCAATTTTAGTTGGAAGGCTAATCAAAACCATCCCACATCATCCAATAGTACTTGGAATAGTGAAGCTCAACCACCTAGGTCTTACCCTACACCTCAATACAATGCACGACCAAATAGGAATCCTTCAGAGGAAACACTTAAGGCATTTATGGAGGCACAGACTAAGACTAACCAAAAGTTTGATTCTATTCTTACACAGGTGGTTGAAGAAAACAAGGATATCAAGAGTCAACTAACTAAGTTGACCAATGCTCTTACTATCCAAGAACGAGGTAAGATTCCATCTCAACCTCAAGCTAATCCTAAAAATTTACATTTGGTGCAGGAATCTACCTCTAATTCGGAGAACATTCAAGGGGTCAATGCAATCACTACTCGTACTGGTAAGGTTATAGAGCCATTGCAAAAATCACCTAAATTGAAGGATGCTACTCCAAGTAGCCGTGAAGATGACCTGTTGGAAGAACCTGAGAAGGAGGTCCCAATTCGAGTTCCTTTCCCTCAAGCTCTTCAAACTGGAAAGATTTCAAACAACCAAGGTGAGATTTTAGAAAATTTGAAAGAAGTTAAGATTAATCTACCTTTGTTGCATGTGATTAAACAGGTACCAACTTATGCCAAGGTGATCAAGGATCTATGCACCATAAAAAGGAAACACCATGTCAAGAAAACTGCATTCTTGACAGAGCATGTAAGTGCAGTAATTGAGCAAAAAACACCGCCAAAGTACAAAGATCCAGGGTGCCCAACAATTGCTTGCCAAATTGGGTCACAAGAGTTCGGTCAAGCGCTTTTGGATTTAGGAGCAAGTGTGAATTTAATGCCTTATTTAGTTTATTTGCAACTAGGTCTTGGAGAGATAAAACCCACATCTGTGGTATTACAGTTGGCTGATCGTTCTTGTAGGAAACCAAGAGGGATAGTGGAAGATGTTTTGCTTCAGATTGATAAATTTTATTATCCTGTTGATTTTCTTGTGTTAGACACTCAGTCTGAAGTTAATAGTGAGTCAAAGATTCCACTTATTTTAGAAAGGCCATTTCTTGCTACTGCTAATGCTCTTATTAATTGTAGGAATGGCTTGATGAAACTTTCATTTGGGAATATGACTTTTGAGGTGAATATTTTTCATGTTGGGAAGCAACTATATGATGATGATGAATGTTATCAAACCTACATGATAGATTCACTGGTTGAGGAAGTATATGAAAGGGAAAATTCTAAATCTTTAGAATACCTCATTGGTGACTCTGATTTAGATGATGACTTTTTGAATGATCATTCTAATGTTTCCTCTATTTCTAATGCTAGGCAGGATAAACGTAGAAAATTTTTAGAGCCAGGGTTTGAGGAGTTGCTACATGATAGGAAACATCTGAAGCCATTTTCAATGGAGATGCCACCTTGTGAAGGATTGAAGCATGCATTCTTGGGAGAGTCTTCCAAATTATTGGACAATGGTTGAGACATTATATGGAGCGAGTAGACCAACCTGAGGAGATCATTCTTTTGGCTCCCGTCTACGATGCTTAATCAGGTTTTATCTTTCCATACTATCATTTGTTTTTCTTATTTTCTTTTAGTAGTTTTTCTTTT